CAAGCATTTTTAAAGTAACCTAACTTGTTTTGTCATGGATGATTGCTGAAGAATAAATCTAATTGGTGATTTAAAAAAATTATACGTACTCCCAGTTAATTATATGGGCGTGCCTTGAGAATTTGCGAGTGTAATGTCATTATGAAAAGGTACAGGAAAGATTGGGGGCTGAATAAGGCGCCGAGGTTGAGAGGCAAAGTGGAGCCGTGGGGGCAAGGCCGTGGAAATCTCGGTTATTATGTTCCGTAGTAATAGAGCTAACTCATCGATCATACGCGATGTAAGGTCCCGACTATACATATGTACTCAGATCTCGTGTGAAACTTCCCAAGCTGCGAGCGACAAATGATAACTCTGATCGTAGTTGTTGACATAAGCTACTGTGGCAATATTCATAACCGATTATCCCAGGCAACTGACAAATATCTCTATAAAAATCCTCAAATCACATATTTTTTGCACAGTGTTCTTAATGGTTTTAGTGACTTTTCAAGTACACATTTTAACAATAAAAATCACAGCTGCTACCCCTTGTAATCCAGGTGTTTAGAGTGAGTTTGAGATATGGAATGTTGCCTTGTGTTTGAGTATGGAACCATGTATTGTGCGATGCCTAAAAAGCATTTGCTTGAAAATAAGTTTAATTTGAAGGAGCATTTGGCAATTTGGGGAATAGACTTCATAATCGTAGTTTATTGTGTTATGATCTTAGGTTGGTGCTTATAAAACTGAAATCTTGCCTGTTTTTTTTTTTTTTTTTTTTTGTATGTAATATATTTATTCATAAGAAGTTACACTTACATTCAAAACATGCCCCGCAAAACTGCTTATGCAGTTTGACTGCAGGTAACTCGCTTTATACAAACATAGCGTATAAACCATTCAACTAGCTTATACTATAATAACACAATTAATTTACGTAAATGGTTATAACGTATTTAACAAATGTTTTTTTAATAAGCTTTTAAATTTAGCAAGTATAGGCTCACGTCTTATGTCCTCGGGTAAACTATTGAGTAAGTATGGAACACGTTTTTTTAACGTTCTATCTCCATAGTAATTTTGTACCATGGGTATTTCAAATTTTCCTTTGGACATTGACCTTGTGCCAGTTTTATGTTGCACCAAGTTAGTTAAACGATCCTGTTTACTATGATTGTTTACAAGTAGAAGATATTTATGTTTCAGGCTAGCCGGTAAAATTTTACATATTTTATATAGTTTAGAGTAATCTCCTTTACATTGATTCTTTGTCTTTTTATTTACGAGTAATTTTAAAAATCTTGTTTGCAATGATTCTATTTTATCTATGTATGTTTTAAATGTTAATCCATAGCAATCAAGAGCGTAACTTATTATGGAATCCACTAGTGCAAAATATAAACATTTTAGTATTGGCAATGGAACTTTAATACTTAAATAATAAAACTTTTCTAGTAATATTCTTAATTTTCCACATAAGTATTCTATGTGGGAATCCCAGGAAAAAGAGGTATCTATTTTTACTCCTAGGTATTTTACACAATTAACTTTTTCGATAGGATTACACGTGCAGTTAATTTTCTTATTGTGGAAGCAATCAAAGCTGTGGGCAATCAGAGGAGGCGGATTATCAATAGAACGTAAATACGGGGAGTGAATAATTATCATCTTTGTTTTGTCAGCGTTTAATATAATGCCGTTATCATGTGACCATTTAACTACCGCATCCACATCCTCTTGAACCCGGCGACACATTTCCGCGAGGTCGGTACTAGCGCTCAGAGTACAAAGGTCATCGGCAAACATATGGGCGGAGCAGTGACGTAATACTCCACAGAGGCTATTTACGTGCATCAGGTAACACACGGGCCCACATCCGGAGCCCTGGGGAACTCCGCAGTTTACTTGTTTCTCCTCGCTGAACGCATCGCCGACTTTCACACG